GCACAGGAACAGACTGTTCTCATTGCCATCTACATTAAATGCTACATGGACAACAACTGGGTGTGCTATTGAGCTGCATGCACAAATCCATGCTTGCTGGAGTGGTGGTCAGTACCATACCCTATTGCTATGCTTGCCCTAGAAGCCCATACAAACACTGTTCTTAGCAGCTTACTAGCTACTCGTCCAACTGCAACCACTCAGACTGAGATTTTCCAGGCCAAGCTGTCTGCATCACGGTGAGTCCTTTCACAATTTTTACTGCAGGCAGTCCAATCACTTTATTACAACTGCTAATAAATCAGACCTGTCTGAAAATTTCCACTGTCCTTGAGTTTGGGATGATGGACTTGAATTTGGCAAAGGAGAAGCCTTTATGTCACAGATATATTTGCTTTTCTCTGTTCAAATGCTGGCTGTCTTGTCTCCCAAATTATAAGCGCTCCAAAAGCTGATGCTCAGAAATGCTTGAAGCTTATTTCCTAAAAGCAATACCACTGCACCATGGGTGAGATGAACTCTGTCTCAAATAGGATCCTCACACTACTGCTTGTACTGGCTGCACTAAGCCTAAGCACCTTGTCTTTGTTGTGTGTTCAGAAGGATATCCACATTAATTTACTGCAGAATGAAGCTTTTGTGGATGTTAATTGTCCCCTGGTATGGGACTACTAAGGATCTATATACATATAGATTTACGACAGGGGAATGAGAGGATGGAGAGAGGTCCGTGGAAAGGAATATAGGGTTCTGATTGATGGCAAGTGGAGTGTGAGTCAGCAGCATGCCCTGGGAGACCAGCACGGCCACCAGTATATAGGAGGGACTGTCCCCTCTGCTCTGCAATTTTTGGCCTCACCTCAAGTGCTGGGTGCAGTTCTTAGACAGGATAACATACAAAGGACATAGAACTGTTAAAGAATATGCACAGAAGGGCTACAAAGATGGTGTAGGGTCTGGAGAGCAAGGTATATGAGGAGCAGCTGAGGTCCGTGGTGTGCTCAGCCCAGAGCAGAGCAGGCTGAGGGGAGCCTGATGGCGGCTGCAGCTCCTCGCAGGGAGCGGAGGGCAGCGCTGAGCTCTGCTCCGTGTGACAGCGACAGGGAACGGCATGGAGCTGTGACAGGGGAGGAGAGCTGGGAGTGAGGGAAAGGGGCTGCACCACGGGGCGGTGGACATGGAACAGCCTGCCCAGGGCTGTGGGCACAGCCCCGAGCTGCTGGAGTTCAAGGAGCATTGGGACAGTGCTCTCAGACATTGGGTTTGGGTTTTGGTTGGAGATGTGTGGAGGTAGGAATTAGACTGATGATCCTTGTGGGTCCCTTCCAACTTGAGATATTCTGTTATTCTATTATTCTGTTCAAACTCTGCCCTAAAAACTTTGATCAAATAAAGGCCATGCTCTGAACAGCTGAAGCCAAGAACCAGCCAGAGGGAACTTCACGAGGCTACAGCTGACAGCAGCTGTGATCCACAGGCCTTCACAGCAAGGCCACATGCAGCACAGGGTACAGAGGCAGCGTGCTGCTGGCAGCTGTCATGATTTTGTCATTTTTTGTTTCTGGTATTCCAAATCATAACATCATGTAAGGCAGTGGGGGCATTTGGCTCTTGAAAGGGAAGACTTCTTGCCCAGAAGAGGAAAGATGGAACTCCTGGTAGGTCAGCAGGCTGTTTCCTGCAGAGAAGCACGTGGTCCCTGGCTGCTTTCACCTGCAGTGGTACAGTAAGGCCTCGGTTTTGGACACTCATTCTGTTTGATTTGTTGGTCTCAGTTCCAATTGTATTGTGTTGTATTATCTTGCATTCTGAGATCGTATTTTAGAAAAATAATACTCCTCCTCAGATCATAGCCGCTGTTCTGTTTTTGGACTCATCGACTATCTCCCCACCTGTCTACCTTTTCCCCTCCCCCGGGGTGCAGACCCATGAGTTCCCTGCCTCATTAGTCATGGGGCCAGGCTTAACACTTCCCCCCCCTTTCTCCCTTTCTCCCTTCCAGCTTTCCCTCCCCTCCCCTCCACTCCCCCCCCTTCCCTCCCCTCCCCTCCCCCCCCCCCTCCTCCCTCCCTCCCCCCTCCCTCCCTTCCTTCCTTCCTCCCTCCCTCCCTCCCTTCCTCCCTCCCTCCCTTCCTCCCTCCCTCCCTTCCTCCCTCCCTCCCTTCCTTCCTTCCTTCCTTCCTTCCTTCCTTCCTTCCTTCCTTCCTCTTTCTCTCTTTCTTTCTATTTATTTATTTATTTGGGAGGGGGGAGGGGCAGCCTGTGTCCCCTGTCACGGACACAGATAACTCCATGACTGCAGCTTTACTACAACACAGCTCAACTCCAAGCACTAGCCTTCCCTAGTTAATAAGTTCCTTGTCCCATAACAGTTTGCAGAGATAAGCAAAGACAGCATTTGTTCACTCATTGATAGACAATTTGGCTTTTTTTTGACTGTGGCAACTTTAAAAACAAAAACAGAAACCAACAATAACTACATATTAATGTTTTGAACTTTTATCTGCCTAAACCTATAAGCAAGTTGTGCTTGCTTTTTACAACAACACATTATTTTCTAACAAGAAGGCAGAATTATCTGATAGGAAACACAGCTAATGTAGCACAAGCAAGTTTTTAAATGAAGTCCAACTGGGCACATGATGAGTAATCCCAAAAACACAATTCAAGGGGTGAACCATCACCATGCAACTGAGCATAATAACCTGCTTGCAAGGTTTTGAGACTACATGCAACATAAATAATTTGAAATCAATTGAGTTACTGTCTTTTGCCTATTTGATAGAAAGGAGAAACAGTGTAATTGGCAATCAAGTACTCCTTTGGGAGCTTCCAACCAGCCAGCTGGATTTGTAAATGCATGGTAATCTGCTGGGACAAATCCTGCAGCTGATTTAACAGTGGTATAAATTGCACGTAGGGTGTAAATTGCTCCAAACATGGATGTAAGCAGTAAAGCACTACCACTGGCATGTCACAGAAATGGTACTCTTGTCCCTGTATGTAAATACAAATCTGCTGGCTCTCCCTTCCCAAAACAGGGCTGAATGCAATCAAGCTCAGATCTACTCACCTTTCACTTGCTAAGCGGCAACTAAATATAGCTCAGAGATAAAGACACTGTCTGCATGGTTAATTAGATGGCTTCTTTATCTAACTTCAACCTTTACACACTTATCTATTTATTAAATCAACGGGCTTATGTATAAAGGCAAGTCTGTTAGCTTAAGTCACTATATATAGACACATTTTCATTGCAGAAGCAAATAGTATAGGCAAAGTTCTGCAGTCAGATGGAAAAAGAGTCTGGGAAAGTGAGGGGGAGAATATCATTTCAATTGAGCTAATAATGTTTGCATTCCTGGGAATAATTCTCTTCTAAAGTTGGCTGCCTTTATTTAATAAACATAGAAGTTAGCTAATGTCCCATGCCATGATGGAAGAAGAACTGGAAGTGACCTTGTTTTGCTTGCCAATCAGACTACTTGGATGAAGTCCTATTCAAAGAGAAGAGTGCTTCTTGCTCATGACTGCATCTCAAAACCATCCAACCAGCCATTTTAGACACCTGATTGAGGAGGATGGCACTGTGTCCTACCAGCTTCTCTCTCTTCTTTCTAGCAGAAGCCCAGATAAGTTCTTAAAATTATGCACTTCACTTTCAAACAGATAAAGTGAGATGAATCTCACCTCATGTGGTCTCTACAAGATGCTGATTCACAGCAACTCTGAGAATAGGGCAAACTTTCCAGGGAGCATTTCCAACGTGCTTCACTTTTGTGGATTCATTAACAGATTGCAGAATGGCCCGGATTGGAAGGGACCCCAAGGATCATGAACTTCAACCCTCCTGCCACAGGCAGGGCCACCAACCTCCCCATTTAATACTAGACCAGGCTGCCCAGGCCCCCATCCAACCTGGCCTTGAAAACCTCCAGGGATGGGGCATCCATAACCTCTCAGGGCAGCCTGATCCAGCACCTCACCACTCTCACAGTAAGGAATTTCCTCCTGACATCCAACCTAAATCTTACCTCCTTCAACTTTAAAACATTTTCCCTTGTCCTGCTGTTATCTACCCTTTCAGAGCTTTACCTAAAATAGCAAAGGTGTCTGCTGTCTCTCTTTATCCATTAAGCTTTTCTGAGTGGTTAAATAAGGAAACAGGGAATCCTAGTCTCACCACTGCTCAGCTATATCTTCAGAAGTATTTGAAGTTGCATGCAAATATAGACCTTGCAGCAGTACAGACTGGTGTCTTACTCTCTAAAAAACAGCTAGGAGAGCCTGTAGGATACCCAGTAGCCCAGCCAGGCAGCATCTCCAGAATGCTCTCTCGTAGTCTGATACTCACTTAACACTGCACGGGGCATAAGATTTCAGAGGGCTTGCAAGCCAAAATGGGGTCAAATAAGAGCAGTTTAGGGAATGTGCCCAGCTGAAAATTACTGTATGGCTGGTACTTCATAAGCAACATGAATGGTAAGGAAGAAAAATTCTTCCCAGGTAAATGACGAAAAACACTTAAACTTCATTACAACAATCCTCCAACGAGGCAGAGGAAGTGTGAAATTGATGACTGGACAGTGAGCTGGGTTAAGTTCTAGCAGACTGGCAGAGCTCAAAGGGTTGTGATTGCCAGCAGAGTGTCCAATTACAGACCTGTCTCGAGCAGTATTCCCAAAGGAGTGATGCTGGATCTGCTTTTGATCAACATCTTCATCAGTGACATTAATGAGGGGCTACTGTCCACAATCAGAGAGCATACTGATGATACGAAGCTGAAAGGAATAGCAGACGGACCAGCATGCTAGGTTGCCATGCAGCAAGACCTAGAAAGACTGGAATGTTCACCAGACAGGAACCAAGAGAGTATTAAAAACAGTCAGTATTCAATTTTACATCTCTGAAGATACAGTGACATGCATCAGTACAGGCTGAGACAAGACCTCCTAGAGAGGAGCAAAGGGATGAGCCCAAGGAGGAGCACCAAGATCGAGGACAGCAAGAAAGACCAGGTCCTTCCCACGGAGCAGAGCCTGTTTGAGTCCAAGAGCCAGCCCTCCAACTGGCTCTGCAGGCTTGGACTGACATCTTGCTCCCCCAACACCGAGGACGGGAAGAAGAACAAGGTCTTTCCTGAGGAGCAGAGCCCCGTTGAGACCAAGGGCCAGCCCTCCAACTGGCTCTGCTGGATTGGACTAAACACCTGTCCTCAGAATGGAGAGAAAAAAGTCGTGCCTCCCGAGAAGAGCCTGCCCGTTAATGCTGAGCGCCGTGCCTCCCACTGGCCCTTCTGGATTGGCCTTTCTCCACACCCCAGATGGGTCCCGAACAGGGCCAGCGAGTCTGTTGATCCAGAGGGCCCCGAGCAGCAGTCCCCGCACACCGAGCAAAAGGCCTTCAGCGTGCTTGACCTCCTCAACAACTTCAAGCACTTAATAAAGCCAGCCCTGATAATCTGCGTCATTCTGGATTTGTGGGGAAACTGCTATCTGTTCCGGCTGCTGTGGGTTGCCTACCAGCTCTGGAGAGATATGTGAAGACATCAGGCACAGGTAAGCGCTCGGGATTCATACTGCACAGAAGGGACTGAGGGTGGGGAGCGGGGAACCGCAAAGGTCTGGTCTGTGAGGGCTTCCAAGCAAAGCAGACCTCCAGAGGTCCAGCAGCTCTCCCCAGAGACTTGCCCGGCCCTAGGGCTGACAGCCGGCCGGGACTCCCATGCAAAACGGGGCCTGCCGGAGGTGCCGTGAGCCCCACGGGCTGCCCCGAGCTGTCCTGGGACGCTGGAAAAGCGGCGCAAGAATCAGAGCCCTGCAGGGCGATGCTCTGCAAAACGAGCCTGCATCCCTTTCTCTGCGCTCATGCCCTGTCATTTCCAGGGAACGGAACAAACGGCCTCAGCTTCAGAACGCAAACAGAGTGATTTCCACAAGGCGCTTCTCTCCATCTGGCAGCCTGTGGGTCAAATGGTGACCGAAGGTGGCGCTGAAGGCACCTGCGATGACAACAACATCTTCCACTGGGGGGACACCAACCTCCCCCAGATCATCACCTCCATTTTCCATCAGTCATGAAATAAATAACACCATCATTTCCACAGCCGGTGTCATTGTGGTGGCAGTGCGTCCGGGACAGTGGCAGCACTAAAGGCATTGGTGCAGGACAGCGCTGCTGTTCGGGGACTGGGGGCATGTTCCTAGGCAGGAGGAAGGGCGGTGGGCCAGGGATAAAAGAGGCATCGGTGGCTGTGAAGCGTCCAGAGACAGCCATGCCCCAGGGGAGAGAGCACATGTTGAGCGGGAACCTACGTCCCAGTGGGGTCATGCAGCGTCCCCCAGAGTGCACGGGGAGGGCCCGTGAGTCTCCAGCACGCTGGGAAGCATCCAGAGCACACTGGGAATCCTCAGCTGGGCCAGTTCTGCCAGGATCCCGTGCGCATCACCTTCCCAGAGGAGGCTCGCACCAAGGGAGCCTTCCCAGAAAGGGAAAACGGCGGCAAAGCACCACAGCAAGATCTGCTGGGGAAGGGAGGGAGGCCCTGCGGCACGGCGGCTCAGACTCCCTGGTCCGTTTCGTCCCTCTGCTTATTACAGCTGACTGGTAGCTCAGGCCGGCAGCCATGAAGGCGCTGAGAGAAGCCTGCGGGCTGTCAAACGGGACTTTGGGGCACTGGCGCGCTGTCACGGCTCCAGCCCGGTGCTGTGACTAATGGGGTGGAGGGACAAGCGAAGCCACGAACCAGGAAAGGGGCAAGAGAGGTGGGGAAAAGGTAGGGAGATGGGCCTGACAACAAAACAACGGCAACGAGCTAAGGGAGAAAACAACGATTTTCTGAGTACGCTAATTTTCTGAGAATGCCAGCGGGATGCAAGATTAAGAAAACAGATGAGGTTTGCCAAAAGCAAGCGCAGAGTCTTGCACCTCGGAAGGAACAGCCGCAAGTATCAGTACAGGCTGGGACCCGACCTGCTGGAGAGGAGCTCTGCGGTGAGGAACCTGGGGCTCCAGGTGGACAACAGGCTGGCCATGAGCCAGCAGGGTGCCCTGGTGGCCAAGAAGGCCACTGGGATCCTACAGGGCATTACAAGGAGCGTGGCCAGCAGGTCAAGGGAGGTGATCGTCTCCCTCCACTCTGCCCTGGTCAGGCCTCACCAGGACTATGGCGTCCGGTTCTGGGCTCCCCGGTACAAGAAAAGGCCGCGATCTCCTGGAAAGAGTCCAGCGGAGGGCCATGAAGATGATCAAGGGCCTGGAGCACCTCTCTCATGAGGAAAGGCTGAGCGACTTGATGTTGTGTTGAGGGACATGGTGTAGTGGGAGCTATGGGTAATAGGTGAACAGTTGGACTGGGTGACCTTTTAGGTCTTTTACAACCTTGGTGATTCTGTGATTCTGTGATTGTATGACCTGGGTCTGTTCAGCCTTGAGAAAAGATAATTCAGAGGGGATCTGATCAATGTCTATATCTAAGGTGACAGCGGCCAAAATACAAGGGCAATGGCCACAAGTTGTATCAGAGGAGGTTTAGGTTAGACATAAGGAAGAACTTCTTCTCTCATAGAGTGGTCAGGCACTGGAATGGCTGCCCAGGGAGGTGGTGGAGTCGCCGTCCCTGGAACTGTTCAAGAGGTGTCTGGATGACGTGCTGCGTGATATGCTTTAGTACTAGTGGTGGCAATGGTGATGAGTAGACGGTTGGATTGGATGATCTTAAAGGTCATTTCACACCTTGTGATTCTATGATTCTATGATCATCTTGAGAGGTCCCTTCCAGCCCCTACAATTCTGTGATTCTGCATCAGGGAGAACACTGTGCTGCCAAGGAGGAGAAGGCAAATACGGACACTGCTGCGGGAGGTGTCAAAGCAAACGTTCAAATCTCTCGGTCTGTACTATCATCTATTCTTTTATTTTCTTTCCGACGTATAAATAAAGGAAATTAATCCAATATTCATTGCTGTTGGAGTGAAGGGCTCAAAAGGATGGGAGAGGAGCACCGGACCTCTGCTTACGTCTGTTTACGAGTGTGAACACTGATAGGACAAGGGGAAATGGTTTCAAACTAAGACAGCAGAGGTTTAGGTTAGATAGTAGGAGGAAGTTTTTCACACAGACTGGAACCCGTTGCCCAAGGAGGCCGTGGATGCCCCATGCCTGCAGGCATTCAAGGCCAGGCGGGATGTGGCTCTGGGCTGCCCGGTGGATTGAAACTAGGGGATCACTGTGGGCCTTCTCAACCCAGGCCGCTCTATGATTCGGTGATTCTATGACCTCGTGCGCTCATGAAAATTACAGAGTGCAGACGGATTGCAAAAAGGGGAGGTGGAACAGGGAGGTGGGATTTGGGTGTAGGGTCCCCAGCCCCGAGCTGGGTGTGGCCATGCCGCACCGGGGAAAGGCATTGTGACATCACAGGCGGGGCATGACATCAGTCTTTATCAAGGCACGCTGGCGGCCTCCCCCAGCTCAGACACTTGGAGCACTCGCTCCGTCCTGGTGGTCACTGCTGGAGCTCTGCTCTGGGTGACAGCCACTTGTGTGTTGAGAGCGGTCCTTGGGAGAGAGCAGGATGAAGCTCAGCCTGACTCTCTTCCTCATCTTACTTGCTTTCCTGTCTCCAATTCCTGACACGTCCAGCTGCCTCAGCTGGGTCGGGAACTGGGACAAAAAGCTGCTCCATCCCGAGGAGCAGCATCCCTTAGAGACCGAGTGCCAGCCTTCCAGCTGGCGCTCCTGGCTTGGTCTAACCACCTGCCCCACCAAGATCGGGGATGGCAACCAAAGGAACGTCCTTCACCAGGAGCACGGACCAACTGACACCAAGAGCCAGCCCTCCAACTGGCTCTGCTGGTTTTGCCGAAACATCTGCTCCAACCAGATGGAGGACGGGAACAAAAGGCAGGTCCTTCACAAGAAGCAGAGCCCGGTTGAGAGCAAGGCCCGGCCCTCCAACTGGCTCTGCTGGTTCGGCCTAACCACCTGCCCCACAAAGATGGAGGACCAGAAGAAACACCAGGTCCTTCATGAGGAGCAGCGTCCGATTGAGTCCAAGAGCCAGCCCTCCAACTGGCTCTGCTGGTTCGGCCTAACCACCTGCCCCACAAAGATGGAGGACCAGAAGAAACACCAGGTCCTTCATGAGGAGCAGCGTCCGACTGAGTCCAAGAGCCAGTCCTCCAACTGGCTCTGCTGGTTTGGACTATGCACCTGCTCCAGCAAGACTGAGGACGCGAAGAAGAACCAGGTCCTTCATGAGGAGCAGAGCCTGTTTGAGTCCAAGAGCCAGTCCTCCAACTGGCTCTGCTGGTTTGGACTATGCACCTGCTCCAGCAAGACTGAGGACACGAAGAAAAACCAGGTCCTTCGTGAGGAGCAGAGTCCCGTAGAGTCCAAGAGCCAGCCCTCCAACTGGCTCTGCAGGCTTGGACTGACATCTTGCTCCCCCAACACCGAGGACGGGAAGAAGAACAAGGTCTTTCCTGAGGAGCAGAGCCCCGTTGAGACCAAGGGCCAGCCCTCCAACTGGCTCTGCTGGATTGGACTAAACACCTGTCCTCAGAATGGAGAGAAAAAAGTCGTGCCTCCCGAGAAGAGCCTGCCCGTTAATGCTGAGCGCCGTGCCTCCCACTGGCCCTTCTGGATTGGCCTTTCTCCACACTCCAGATGGGTCCCGAACAGGGCCAGCGAGTCTGTTGATCCAGAGGGCCCCGAGCAGCAGTCCCCGCACACCGAGCAAAAGGCCTTCAGCGTGCTTGACCTCCTCAACAACTTCAAGCACTTAATAAAGCCAGCCCTGATAATCTGCGTCATTCTGGATTTGTGGGGAAACTGCTATCTGTTCCGGCTGCTGTGGGTTGCCTACCAGCTCTGGAGAGATATGTGAAGACATCAGGCACAGGTAAGCGCTCGGGATTCATACTGCACAGAAGGGACTGAGGGTGGGGTGCGGGGAACCGCAAAGGTCTGGTCTGTGAGGGCTTCCAAGCAAAGCAGACCTCCAGAGGTCCAGCAGCTCTCCCCAGAGACTTGCCTGGCCCTAGGGCTGACAGCCGGCTGGGACTCCCATGCAAAACGGGGCCTGCCGGAGGTGCCGTGAGCCCCACGGGCTGCCCCGAGCTGTCCTGGGACGCTGGAAAAGCGGCGCAAGAATCAGAGCCCTGCAGGGCGATGCTCTGCAAAACGAGCCTGCATCCCTTTCTCTGCGCTCATGCCCTGTCATTTCCAGGGAACGGAACAAACGGCCTCAGCTTCAGAACGCAAACAGAGTGATTTCCACAAGGCGCTTCTCTCCATCTGGCAGCCTGTGGGTCAAATGGTGACCGAAGGTGGCGCTGAAGGCACCTGCGATGACAACAACATCTTCCACTGGGGGGACACCAACCTCCCCCAGATCATCACCTCCATTTTCCATCAGTCATGAAATAAATAACATCATCATTTCCACAGCCTGTGTCATTGTGGTGGCAGTGCGTCCGGGACAGTGGCAGCACTAAAGGCATTGGTGCAGGACAGCGCTGCTGTTCGGGAACTGGGGGCATGTTCCTAGGCGGGAGGAAGGGCGGTGGGCCAGGGATAAAAGAGGCATCGGTGGCTGTGAAGCGTCCAGAGACAGCCATGCCCCAGGGGAGAGAGCACATGTTGAGCGGGAACCTACCTCCCAGTGGGGTCATGCAGCGTCCCCCAGAGTGCACGGGGAGGGCCCGTGAGTCTCCAGCACGCTGGGAAGCATCCAGAGCACACTGGGAATCCTCAGCTGGGCCAGTTCTGCCAGGATCCCGTGCGCATCACCTTCCCAGAGGAGGCTCGCACCAAGGGAGCCTTCCCAGAAAGGGAAAACGGCGGCAAAGCACCACAGCAAGATCTGCTGGGGAAGGGAGGGAGGCCCTGCGGCACGGCGGCTCAGACTCCCTGGTCCGTTTCGTCCCTCTGCTTATTACAGCTGACTGGTAGCTCAGGCCGGCAGCCATGAAGGCGCTGAGAGAAGCCTGCGGGCTGTCAAACGGGACTTTGGGGCACTGGCGCGCTGTCACGGCTCCAGCCCGGTGCTGTGACTAATGGGGTGGAGGGACAAGCGAAGCCACGAACCAGGAAAGGGGCAAGAGAGGTGGGGAAAAGGTAGGGAGATGGGCCTGACAACAAAACAACGGCAACGAGCTAAGGGAGAAAACAACGATTTTCTGAGTACGCTAATTTTCTGAGAATGCCAGCGGGATGCAAGATTAAGAAAACAGATGAGGTTTGCCAAAAGCAAGCGCAGAGTCTTGCACCTCGGAAGGAACAGCCGCAAGTATCAGTACAGGCTGGGACCCGACCTGCTGGAGAGGAGCTCTGCGGTGAGGAACCTGGGGCTCCAGGTGGACAACAGGCTGGCCATGAGCCAGCAGGGTGCCCTGGTGGCCAAGAAGGCCACTGGGATCCTACAGGGCATTACAAGGAGCGTGGCCAGCAGGTCAAGGGAGGTGATCGTCTCCCTCCACTCTGCCCTGGTCAGGCCTCACCAGGACTATGGCGTCCGGTTCTGGGCTCCCCGGTACAAGAAAAGGCCGCGATCTCCTGGAAAGAGTCCAGCGGAGGGCCATGAAGATGATCAAGGGCCTGGAGCACCTCTCTCACGAGGAAAGGCTGAGCCACCTGGGTCTGTTCAGCCTTGAGAAAAGACTCAGAGGGGACCTGATCAATGTCTGTACCTACGGGGTGATTGACGGCGGCCAAAATACAAGGCCAAGCTCTTTGCAGCCGTGCGTGCTGATAGGACAATGGCCAAAGTAGGAAGTTCTGCACAAACGTGCAGAAGAACGTCTTCACGGCGAGGGTGAGAGGGCACTGCAACTCCTGCCAAGGGAGGCTGTGGAGTCTCCCTGTCTGGAGATGCCCAAGACCTGCCTGGACGCCAACCTGTGCAACCTGGCCTACCGAGCTTGTTTTGGCAAAAAGGTTGGACTCGATCGTCTCCAGAGGTCCCTTCCAGCCCCTACAATTCTGTGATTCTGCATCAGGGAGAACACTGTGCTGCCAAGGAGGAGAAGGCAAATACGGACACTGCTGCGGGAGGTGACAAAGCAAACGTTCAAATCTCTCGGTCTGTACTATCATCTATTCTTTTATTTTCTTTCCGACGTATAAATAAGGGAAATTAATCCAATATTCACTGCTGTTGGAGTGAAGGGCTCAAAAGGATGGGAGAGGAGCACCGGACCTCTGCTTACGTCTGTTTACGAGTGTGAACACTGATAGGACAAGGGGAAATGGTTTCAAACTAAGACAGGAGAGGTTTAGGTTAGATAGTAGGAGGAAGTTTTTCACACAGACTGGAACCCGTTGCCCAAGGAGGCCGTGGATGCCCCATGCCTGCAGGCATTCAAGGCCAGGCGGGATGTGGCTCTGGGCTGCCCGGTGGATTGAAACTAGGGGATCACTGTGGGCCTTCTCAACCCAGGCCGCTCTATGACTCGGTGATTCTATGACCTCGTGCGCTCATGAAAATTACAGAGTGCAGACGGATTGCAAAAAGGGGAGGTGGAACAGGGAGGTGGGATTTGGGTGTAGGGTCCCCAGCCCCGAGCTGGGTGTGGCCATGTCGCACCGGGGAAAGGCATTGTGACATCACAGGCGGGGCATGACATCAGTCTTTATCAAGGCACGCTGGCGGCCTCCCCCAGCTCAGACACTTGGAGCACTCGCTCCGTCCTGGTGGTCACTGCTGGAGCTCTGCTCTGGGTGACAGCCACTTGTGTGTTGAGAGCGGTCCTTGGGAGAGAGCAGGATGAAGCTCAGCCTGACTCTCTTCCTCATCTTACTTGCTTTCCTGTCTCCAATTCCTGACACGTCCAGCTGCCTCAGCTGGGTCGGGAACTGGGACAAAAAGCTGCTCCATCCCGAGGAGCAGCATCCCTTAGAGACCGAGTGCCAGCCCTCCAGCTGGCGCTCCTGGCTTGGTCTAACCACCTGCCCCACCAAGATCGGGGATGGCAACCAAAGGAACGTCCTTCACCAGGAGCACGGACCAACTGACACCAAGAGCCAGCCCTCCAACTGGCTCTGCTGGTTTTGCCGAAACATCTGCTCCAACCAGATGGAGGACGGGAACAAAAGGCAGGTCCTTCACAAGAAGCAGAGCCCGGTTGAGAGCAAGGCCCGGCCCTCCAACTGGCTCTGCTGGTTCGGCCTAACCACCTGCCCCACAAAGATGGAGGACCAGAAGAAACACCAGGTCCTTCATGAGGAGCAGCGTCCGATTGAGTCCAAGAGCCAGTCCTCCAACTGGCTCTGCTGGTTCGGCCTAACCACCTGCCCCACAAAGATGGAGGACCAGAAGAAACACCAGGTCCTTCATGAGGAGCAGCGTCCGACTGAGTCCAAGAGCCAGTCCTCCAACTGGCTCTGCTGGTTTGGACTATGCACCTGCTCCAGCAAGACTGAGGACGCGAAGAAGAACCAGGTCCTTCCCACGGAGCAGAGCCTGTTTGAGTCCAAGAGCCAGCCCTCCAACTGGCTCTGCAGGCTTGGACTGACATCTTGCTCCCCCAACACCGAGGACGGGAAGAAGAACAAGGTCTTTCCTGAGGAGCAGAGCCCCGTTGAGACCAAGGGCCAGCCCTCCAACTGGCTCTGCTGGATTGGACTAAACACCTGTCCTCAGAATGGAGAGAAAAAAGTCGTGCCTCCCGAGAAGAGCCTGCCCGTTAATGCTGAGCGCCGTGCCTCCCACTGGCCCTTCTGGATTGGCCTTTCTCCACACTCCAGATGGGTCCCGAACAGGGCCAGCGAGTCTGTTGATCCAGAGGGCCCCGAGCAGCAGTCCCCGCACACCGAGCAAGACGCCTTCAGCGTGCTTGACCTCCTCAACAACTTCAAGCACTTAATAAAGCCAGCCCTGATAATCTGCGTCATTCTGGATTTGTGGGGAAACTGCTATCTGTTCCGGCTGCTGTGGGTTGCCTACCAGCTCTGGAGAGATATGTGAAGACATCAGGCACAGGTAAGCGCTCGGGATTCATACTGCACAGAAGGGACTGAGGGTGGGGAGCGGGGAACCGCAAAGGTCTGGTCTGTGAGGGCTTCCAAGCAAAGCAGACCTCCAGAGGTCCAGCAGCTCTCCCCAGAGACTTGCCCGGCCCTAGGGCTGACAGCCGGCCGAGACTCCCATGCAAAACGGGGCCTGCCGGAGGTGCCGTGAGCCCCACGGGCTGCCCCGAGCTGTCCTGGGACGCTGGAAAAGCGGCGCAAGAATCAGAGCCCTGCAGGGCGATGCTCTGCAAAACGAGCCTGCATCCCTTTCTCTGCGCTCATGCCCTGTCATTTCCAGGGAACGGAACAAACGGCCTCAGCTTCAGAACGCAAACAGAGTGATTTCCACAAGGCGCTTCTCTCCATCTGGCAGCCTGTGGGTCAAATGGTGACCGAAGGTGGCGCTGAAGGCACCTGCGATGACAACAACATCTTCCACTGGGGGGACACCAACCTCCCCCAGATCATCACCTCCATTTTCCATCAGTCATGAAATAAATAACACCATCATTTCCACAGCCGGTGTCATTGTGGTGGCAGTGCGTCCGGGACAGTGGCAGCACTAAAGGCATTGGTGCAGGACAGCGCTGCTGTTCGGGGACTGGGGGCATGTTCCTAGGCAGGAGGAAGGGCGGTGGGCCAGGGATAAAAGAGGCATCGGTGGCTGTGAAGCGTCCAGAGACAGCCATGCCCCAGGGGAGAGAGCACATGTTGAGCGGGAACCTACGTCCCAGTGGGGTCATGCAGCGTCCCCCAGAGTGCACGGGGAGGGCCCGTGAGTCTCCAGCACGCTGGGAAGCATCCAGAGCACACTGGGAATCCTCAGCTGGGCCAGTTCTGCCAGGATCCCGTGCGCATCACCTTCCCAGAGGAGGCTCGCACCAAGGGAGCCTTCCCAGAAAGGGAAAACGGCGGCAAAGCACCACAGCAAGATCTGCTGGGGAAGGGAGGGAGGCCCTGCGGCACGGCGGCTCAGACTCCCTGGTCCGTTTCGTCCCTCTGCTTATTACAGCTGACTGGTAGCTCAGGCCGGCAGCCATGAAGGCGCTGAGAGAAGCCTGCGGGCTGTCAAACGGGACTTTGGGGCACTGGCGCGCTGTCACGGCTCCAGCCCGGTGCTGTGACTAATGGGGTGGAGGGACAAGCGAAGCCACGAACCAGGAAAGGGGCAAGAGAGGTGGGGAAAAGGTAGGGAGATGGGCCTGACAACAAAACAACGGCAACGAGCTAAGGGAGAAAACAACGATTTTCTGAGTACGCTAATTTTCTGAGAATGCCAGCGGGATGCAAGATTAAGAAAACAGATGAGGTTTGCCAAAAGCAAGCGCAGAGTCTTGCACCTCGGAAGGAACAGCCGCAAGTATCAGTACAGGCTGGGACCCGACCTGCTGGAGAGGAGCTCTGCGGTGAGGAACCTGGGGCTCCAGGTGGACAACAGGCTGGCCATGAGCCAGCAGGGTGCCCTGGTGGCCAAGAAGGCCACTGGGATCCTACAGGGCATTACAAGGAGCGTGGCCAGCAGGTCAAGGGAGGTGATCGTCTCCCTCCACTCTGCCCTGGTCAGGCCTCACCAGGACTATGGCGTCCGGTTCTGGGCTCCCCGGTACAAGAAAAGGCCGCGATCTCCTGGAAAGAGTCCAGCGGAGGGCCATGAAGATGATCAAGGGCCTGGAGCACCTCTCTCACGAGGAAAGGCTGAGCCACCTGGGTCTGTTCAGCCTTGAGAAAAGAAGACTCGGAGGGGACCTGATCAATGTCTGTACCTACGGGGTGATTGACGGCGTCCAAAATACAAGGCCAAGTTCTTTGCAGCCGTGCGTGCTGACAGGACAATGGCCAAAGTAGGAAGTTCTGCACAAACGTGCAGAAGAACGTCTTCACGGCGAGGGTGAGAGGGCACTGCAACTCCTGCCAAGGGAGGCTGTGGAGTCTCCCTGTCTGGAGATGCCCAAGACCTGCCTGGACGCCAACCTGTGCAACCTGGCCTACCGAGCTTGTTTTGGCAAAAAGGTTGGACTCGATCGTCTCCAGAGGTCCCTTCCAGCCACTACAATTCTGTGATTCTGCATCAGGGAGAACACTGTGCTGCCAAGGAGGAGAAGGCAAATACGGACACTGCTGCGGGAGGTGTCAAAGCAAACGTTCAAATCTCTCGGTCTGTACTATCATCTATTCTTTTATTTTCTTTCCGACGTATAAATAAAGGAAATTAATCCAATATTCATTGCTGTTGGAGTGAAGGGCTCAAAAGGATGGGAGAGGAGCACCGGACCTCTGTTTACGTCTGTTTACGAGTGTGAACACTGATAGGACAAGGGGAAATGGTTTCAAACTAAGACAGGAGAGGTTTAGGTTAGATAGTAGGAGGAAGTTTTTCACACAGACTGGAACCCGTTGCCCAAGGAGGCCGTGGATGCCCCATGCCTGCAGGCATTCAAGGCCAGGCGGGATGTGGCTCTGGGCTGCCCGGTGGATTGAAACTAGGGGATCACTGTGGGCCTTCTCAACCCAGGCCGCTCTATGATTCGGTGATTCTATGACCTCGTGCGCTCATGAAAATTACAGAGTGCAGACGGATTGCAAAAAGGGGAGATGGAACAGGGAGGTGGGATTTGGGTGTAGGGTCCCCAGCCCCGAGCTGGGTGTGGCCATGTCGCACCGGGGAAAGGCATTGTGACATCACAGGCGGGGCATGACATCAGTCTTTATCAAGGCACGCTGGCGGCCTCCCCCAGCTCAGACACTTGGAGCACTCGCTCCGTCCTGGTGGTCACTGCTGGAGCTCTGCTCTGGGTGACAGCCACTTGTGTGTTGAGAGCGGTTCTTGGGAGAGAGCAGGATGAAGCTCAGCCTGACTCTCTTCCTCATCTTACTTGCTTTCCTGTCTCCAATTCCTGACACGTCCAGCTGCCTCAGCTGGGTCGGGAACTGGGACAAAAAGCTGCTCCATCCCGAGGAGCAGCATCCCTTAGAGACCGAGTGCCAGCCCTCCAGCTGGCGCTCCTGGCTTGGTCTAACCACCTGCCCCACCAAGATCGGGGATGGCAACCAAAGGAACGTCCTTCACCAGGAGCACGGACCAACTGACACCAAGAGCCAGCCCTCCAACTGGCTCTGCTGGTTTTGCCAAAACATCTGCTCCACAAAGATGGAGGACGGGAACAAAAGGCAGGTCCTTCACAAGAAGCAGAGCCCGGTTGAGAGCAAGGCCCGGCCCTCCAACTGGCTCTGCTGGTTCGGCCTAACCACCTGCCCCACAAAGATGGAGGACCAGAAGAAACACCAGGTCCTTCATGAGGAGCAGCGTCCGACTGAGTCCAAGAGCCAGTCCTCCAACTGGCTCTGCTGGTTTGGACTATGCACCTGCTCCAGCAAGACTGAGGACGCGAAGAAGAACCAGGTCCTTCCCGAGGAGCAGAGCCTGTTTGAGTCCAAGAGCCAGTCCTCCAACTGGCTCTGCTGGTTTGGACTATGCACCTGCTCCAGCAAGACTGAGGACACGAAGAAAAACCAGGTCCTTCGTGAGGAGCAGAGTCCCGTAGAGTCCAAGAGCCAGCCCTCCAACTGGCTCTGCAGGCTTGGACTGACATCTTGCTCCCCCAACACCGAGGACGGGAAGAAGAACAAGGTCTTTCCTGAGGAGCAGAGCCCTGTTGAGACCAAGGGCCAGCCCTCCAACTGGCTCTGCTGGATTGGACTAAACACCTGTCCTCAGAATGGAGAGAAAAAAGTCGTGCCTCCCGAGAAGAGCCTGCCCGTTAATGCTGAGCGCCGTGCCTCCCACTGGCCCTTCTGGATTGGCCTTTCTCCACACCCCAGATGGGTCCCGAACAGGGCCAGCGAGTCTGTTGATCCAGAGGGCCCCGAGCAGCAGTCCCCGCACACCGAGCAAGACGCCTTCAGCGTGCCTGACATCCTCAACAACTACAAGGACTTAATAACGCCATTCCTGATAATCTGCGTCATTCTGGATTTGTGGGGAAACTGCTATCTGTTCCGGCTGCTGTGGATTGCCTACCGGCTCTGGAGAGATATGTGAAGACATCAGGCACAGGTAAGCGCTCGGGATTCATACTGCACAGAAGGGACTGAGGGTGGGGAGCGGGGAACCGCAAAGGTCTGGTCTGTGAGGGCTTCCAAGCAAAGCAGACCTCCAGAGGTCCAGCAGCTCTCCCCAGATTCTTGCCCGGCCCTAGGGCTGACAGCCGGCCGAGACTCCCATGCAAAACGGGGCCTGCCGGAGGTGCCGTGAGCCCCACGGGCTGCCCCGAGCTGTCCTGGGACGCTGGAAAAGCGGCGCAAGAATCAGAGCCCTGCAGGGCGATGCTCTGCAAAACGAGCCTGCATCCCTTTCTCTGCGCTCATGCCCTGTCATTTCCAGGGAACGGAACAAACGGCCTCAGCTTCAGAACGCAAACAGAGTGATTTCCACAAGGCGCTTCTCTCCATCTGGCAGCCTGTGGGTCAAATGGTGACCGAAGGTGGCGCTGAAGGCACCTGCGATGACAACAACATCTTCCACTGGGGGGACACCAACCTCCCCCAGATCATCACCTCCATTTTCCATCAGTCATGAAATAAATAACATCATCATTTCCACAGCCTGTGTCATTGTGGTGGCAGTGCGTCCGGGACAGTGGCAGCACTAAAGGCATTGGTGCAGGACAGCGCTGCTGTTCGGGGACTGGGGGCATGTTCCTAGGCAGGAGGAAGGGCGGTGGGCCAGGGATAAAAGAGGCATCGGTGGCTGTGAAGCGTCCAGAGACAGCCATGCCCCAGGGGAGAGAGCACATGTTGAGCGGGAACCTACGTCCCAGTGGGGTCATGCAGCGTCCCCCAGAGTGCACGGGGAGGGCCCGTGAGTCTCCAGCACGCTGGGAAGCATCCAGAGCACACTGGGAATCCTCAGCTGCGCTTCCATGAAGGAAGCTCAGGTATAGGCTAACTGCACAGGTACACCAAGCCCAGGAGTCCTCTGAGATAGGGTGCAAGGAAAAAGCAGCCAGGGAAATCGTTGGAGGGTAAGGGAGGGGACAAGATGCTTTATTTTTGGCTGTGACTAACACAGAATCCAGAGTGCTTCACACGGAACTTGTAAGACAATGAGGAAAAAAAATAAAAGATTCATCTGTCTCTATTATGAAACATTAATGTAGTACTTAAGCCTTCTCTCTGACTAATGCTGTGATTAAAAGGTATATAAAAACAGCTGTGATTTCACATTTGAACCTGAACAGCAGGGAGAGAAACTGTCAACTGTTTAATGATTAAGAAGTCTACTGTGATGTTATCATTTCAGTTCCTATTATATTTTGTGTAGAAACAGACCTCCTACATGTATCTTCAAAACAACTTCTTAACTTACAACATTAAAAAGCTGCTCATAGAGTTGCTGCTGACTTCACTGGTGAGAGGACAAACTTTCCAGGCCTCTAAAATATGGCAGTTATTTTCTAACCTTAGAATGTATGACATTTTCTGGTAGGAGACTGCATCAAGTGGAAAAACAAAGATTAATTTGGGATTTTTCTCCACAAACTGTTTTGTGGTTTGATGTGTCATCTCTGTTTCCTTCCTCTCTTTCCTCTTTCCAGTTTCTTTTACTAAAACTGCAACTTATGCAATGAATTTAGAGTTGGGAAGCCAAAAAAAAACAAAAAACAAAAACCAACCAAACAACAACAACAAAAAAAGATTTTCCCATTTTACTAATTTTAGAATGAAAAATCCAGTTTCTAATGTCAGATTAAAAGTTCAGCTTAAAATGTAATTTCACCTTTCAACACACAACACGCACACACACAAAACAAAGCAAAACAAAAAAAGCCTTGCACTGAAATGCTTTACTTAACCGTGCCACAAATTTTCTGGATTCTTTCCTTATGAGAAGGCTCAGTTCTGTTTTTTTTGGATCATTGCAAGAAAGAAAAACCCTCAGAATACCAAAGATAGTACCTGACAAAAAAACAGTTCCTACCTTGAACATATTTCTGTGGCTCCTAGCTGCTAAATATCTGGGCCCAGATTAAACATGGTCAACTAACATTCTTGTTAGTCTTGTTAGTTTGACTTTCAACTTCTAGCAACTTCAGTAGAGGGATAAAATAATAATAAAAAACAAACTAGCAGAGGTCCCTTCTTGTCTGAGAGGATGAACCTGAACAATCTCTGAATTCAGTCTTTCACTGCACAATGCCAAATGGACTGTGAAATTGTTTACCCTAATGGACAGTGCTGGTTTCTTTTAGAAAGAGAATGAAATTTATTGGGTAATCTAAACCAAAATCACCGGGTTTGATTCATTTTTAGTGAAATTGCTGTTGTCATTTTTTTTCTTCACTAGGGAAGGGGAATCTTTAGTAGGCACACCTGCACCTCCGTGCAAGTCCCTACAGAAACATATGGAGTACGATCTTAAAAAAGGACTGCATCTGGACAGCAGCAGCTACACTTCGGTCTGACCCAGAGCCTACAGACCACAAACAGGGCTGCGGCAGTGACAAGTGGGGTTAAAGGTCATCCAGAATTCAATCTCATTTGATGTTTATGTTAGTGTTAAAGTAACATCGGGCCATAATAGAAAATGATTCAGAAACTGCTGGACAGAATTCTAAAGCACAAGAACCAATAATCCATCCGAAATTGTTAACATCAGTAATGATAAATCTTTGTAGCCTTAGAAATCCCCTTTAACATACAGAATACCATCAAATCGCTTCCTGCAAGTTATCAAGCTGATATCAGATGGCAACATTATCAGCCCAGGGCTATAAATGAAAAAGTCTGCTTCCACAAACAATGCCATAAGCCCTCATACATTTCTTCAGATCTCTCTTTGGAAACCACTGCCAGAACCAATCATGCAACACACGACAAGTACACAGCACGCGGGGAGAAATCCTCCTCCAGAAAACCCAGGCACTTCCCTCAAACTTCTAAAACAGACAGTTGCAGCATTTGGGTTCTTCTTTATTTTATTTTATTTTTTGAGGGAACATAAGAGGAAAAGAAACTTGAGATTACCAAAACTGCTATAAATACCAGATGGAGAAAATAAGGCGCATTGTAAAAGATACAGGGAAGAGACAGAAAACAGGAAAAACTCCAGGATAAATGATTGCCTCATTCTCCACCCATCCTGACTGTCCCACAGCATCACAATATGGGAACCCAGGAATCTCACAGTGTGAGGAAAAATGAAATAAGAGATCATTCGATTTGCAGCATTACACAAACGCCACAAACAATATTCTCCAACTTCTAAATAAACAAATCAAATCCAAGGAAAATTAGATGGGAAGCATTAATGCTCTCCGCTATTCATTCACATATAATTTATGCAAACAATTCACAGAAAATATCTGAGATGCTCTACAAGCTTGGCTTTTAAATCAATTTTCCTCTCAAATTAAAAGGAGATAACGTAGTTTGACTTCAAATGCATCTAAATTAGAGTCTTAACCTGAAATCCACTGCAGAAAAAAAATCAAGCCATAATCTTGAAATCTATTGTAATACAATCTCCTTTTGCAGCTTACCAAATTCAGACACAATTTTGGGTGGGAGATGAGGTGAGAAAGAAGATCCCCCTTCTCCCATCCCAAGAGACAAAGCCATAGAACAAAGCTTTTTTTTTTCAACCAAAACACCAAAGTTCCTACAAAAGAGAGTAAAACTATCTGGATATCATCAAACTTCTCTGTACTGAAATTATATTTTCTCTTTTATAATCTCAGAAGTATTAAAACCACTGCAAAACCACTGCCACATCTTACAGCGGATAAAATAGTACAAAGAGTCTGTTCCAAATGCACTGAAATTCATGGCAAGAAGAAAATATAGTGAAAAACAAGAGCTAAGTTCCATCAGACCAGACTAGAGCAGATCCAGCAGCAGAACGGGAAAGCCTACTGGACCTAAGCACAGAGCTTGTGAAAAAAGGAGTTGCTCCTTGATAGCTCAGGGTCCCTACATCTCACCTCATGTATTCATAAGGTTAAGAAATTTATGGATGTTGTTTCCATCATGTTGCCAACACATGGGCTCTTCTGGCTGCCCTCATCCTGCCTCCATTCCGGAGCCCAGCAATGTCCCCTCCACGGATACACTGTTTCCCCTGCTCACTGTGACTTGGGCACGCTACAATAAACAGCAATTAAGACTGTAGACAACAGAAAACCCTCGAAGCACAAATCAAAAGGTTTTCTGGCCCAGCTTCCTAATGCGAGAGGCAAATGTTAAGAATGAAAATCAGTGACATTTTTTGAAATTCTGGAAGTCAGTTTGAATTTGATACAAGGTTATGATTTCTTTCCAACTACCCCACACATCTAAAATTTCAGTGTCTAGTCCAATCTGGTTTGATAGACTTGCTTTGCAGACAGTATAAAGAGACAGTCACTTCCAGAGGGTAAATCACCTGCAGCACCTCAGCGGGGCCCATTACATAGGACATCAAAATGACTTGATGAGACACAGCACGTCATTTCTACACCACCAATGTCAAGTGTGTGCTGCACTATCTGACAGGCAAAACACAACGCAAGGAAGTGTATCAAATACACAGCACTGACTAGGCTGCAGACCTTTTCTTGAAGCATTCTTCCTCGCAAAGCCAGGATGAGTTTTGGTCCTTCCAGTTCCCTGTGGTTAGCCTACTCCAGCTCACACTCAGAGCGAGAAATGCGTAAGAGAAATAAATACAAAGTGTGCTGACACTTATCCCCATAATACTGTGAAGAAATATAGTGAATATGACAATTATTTCGGAGTAACTTCTAATAAACAGTAGTCCAGCTGCTAAATAACGTATGCTGATTAACATTAGAACTATCATTATAGGCACCACAAGTCACATTTTCAGTTCAACTTTGTAACTGTTTCTGTAGGTATGGAGGCAACCCATGTCTTTAGAGGCCATGAGAGCTTGCTCCAACCTGCAGCTGCAAATTGGGCTGTGGAAGCAAAAAAAAAAACCAAGAAAAAAATACTGTGAGATGACTAAACATGCTCAAGTAGGGCTTTCCACTTCACCAAGAGCACCACTCAGAGCCTGAGGTGCAGGATCAGCATGGAGATACCATGTGGAGCATCTACGATAGACTATCCTGGATAAAAAAGAGGGATGGAGCTCTCTTTCAACTGGAAGAAAGTTGCAGT